GTATCTACTGTTTTTGGCTTGTTTACTTTAGCAAAGTAGTACTGGATTTTCAATATACACGTAGCCACTTTATTTTCTAACAACTTGTTTTACCATATAGACTGTAGGTTCTTTTGGTTTGTATTACTGGGCATGGGTTTTCATCAAGCGTCGTTTGTTGTAGTTCAAAATTTGGTAACTTACATTTCCTTTTCACTTCCAACTAAACGTATGCCAGCATCGGAATAACCACAGACCATGGTCTCTGGATTGCCCCTGAAAGACAGTCGTGACTTTACATATTTATCTTTAAGTCCGTAGCGGATATGACCGTCTTCTAGACTGAATATGAACAAATGACGATGGGCATTCAGGATGGCGTGGGTCGCGCGTTGCTCTCATAGATTGAACAATCTCGACGATGATCGATCATTGCAAACTTCTTGCCTTTCGTAGCGGCCATATTGTTGCACGAATACTATGAATGAGTTACACACATTGTAGTTAAAAATGCAGTAGCCAATTGGCTTTATTACTGCATTTCACGTGATATTAAAGCTATTTGATTGGCTCGTTTGAAGTTTCTACTGCATTTTAATTCAAACCATAGTAACGAATAGAGCAAGGATGGCGTCATGGTCTATAACCTAAATTGAATTTATCGCCACATCATCGTCGAGTTAAATAATCGGTATCGATAATATTGATTGATCGATTGGAGGCCTCTATCGTTAACACTGTTACGGCACCAATTGAGCTTTATTGTTTTGTTGTTAAGCTCTTATTGTATAGGCAATAGGTATGTGTATTCTAGACGTTTCCGTTTTACATACGAATGTAATAAATAAAGAAAATGAAGTGTACTATAAATGAGCATAATATAGAGAGAAAAAAAGTTTTACAATTTTTACATAAATGACCAGTAACTTTTCTAGTTAAAGATACCCCGAGCATCATGAACTGATCTCGATTTATTATACGATTAATTAGCACAAGGTTGCCGAATTTCGCACCATTATTCCTACCTGACGTGTGAAATGTAAACATCTAAATAATGTCCTCAGTTTTTTCCTATTCAACAAATATACTATCTAGTCGTAACAGAATATTCATTGCATTCGGATGCATCAGGAAGGTCGACTGCATTGAATACATTGCACCGGACGCGATCAAATCAATGCTCGCGCTGAGTCCTACAAGGGGTAACCCTGCGACCTAATTTGTGACGCAAACACGCGACGACTTCATTTTGTCACTCTTACGCATCTATTTCCTTCTCCCCATATCTCTTACATAGCACTTGACAACTAGATGATTATTCCATTTAATCGTAATTCAGATTCCAGAATAAAACGATGATAGATACTTTAGCAAATGCTTTTCTAAGGCCCAAAATATTTAAATTGCACTTCAAATTCCCTGTAAAGGTAACCAAAAGGTACAGATGTTCATGAAAAATTTTACTCCGTTTTTTCCAATTCTCTTTCCCAAAAACCATTACTAACTCTGATTACATCGTATTCGGGTAAACGTTTCTTAATAAATAGTAATCTGAACCGATTAAATCGATATCAGTCTAACTATAACTGCGAGTCGAGGTCACTCGGTTAACTCGCACGGAATTAAAGATAAAGGATGCAGTTACAGTATACAATATCTAACGGAGTATGTCTTGTTTAACATAATGAATAATTTAAAAAAAATATTTAAATAGTCATGTAGTTGTTGCCGACAATTTTATCGATAGATTGTAAACGTACGTAAAATATTGCCAAAAATAATAACACAACACACTCATAGCCCCGCACTACGTAAACCCTGTATCGCGGGCGCTATGGACACAAACATAGACAACCACAAATTACATCCAAACTTACGAGAGAAATAAATGTAGCCCATATAAATATTTCTTCCGGCCCGTGAATCGAACCTGGGACCTCTGCATGGCAGTCCGGCATGGTAACTGTTCGGCCACAGAGGCAGTAAAAAGTGTCTGGAATTGTGAATGTTACTACGTTCTAATGACTACTACTTACATTATTGCATTCTTTATTCTTAATTTGACAGTTGGTCTTTATAATATATCACCTATAAGTATTTTGTATTCACATGCTGCTAAACTTAGTGTACATATGTGTGAATTTTCAAAAATTAACAATTCAAATGACCCCATGCCCAGCAGTTAAACGAATAATTGGCCAATCACGAATGAAACGAGTTCAAATGAGAGGTATTCAGCTATTTTTTTCATAAGCGTAACCAGTCGATAATCGATATAATATATCGACTACAATACAAACTAGCTTCTTGCAAGCGGGCAACACTTTTATGCAATGAACTGTCATTTTAGGGATCTCATCTTTAAAAAAGAGAGACTATAATGTTTGTTATTTGTGAAAACTGTTTTAATATTCATAATTGCAAGACTTACGGACAATCTTTACCATGGCAGGAACCGTATCCAGCAATTGTCATAAAGAAGACCTTGTATGGATGTTGTATTAGAAGTTGTTTAACTATGCATCGCTATGCTACGTCCTAGTATGCAGTAGTTAGTGCGCCCGCGCAAGTCATCTCGTATCGAATGTAACGGACGATCAATAAATCAATTACGCGCGGGGGCATCGCTGAATTGGATTTGACAGTTGGCTAGATCTAGTGCGGATCGATTGTGTATCGATAGTGCTGATGGTTTATCGATTTTCGCAACACAAACGTCAAAAATATTTTTATGGATGGTAAGGTTTTCGATGATAATGATGATATTTTATTACCTAAAGGGTTCATGTACTCTGTTACTGAAGTACTAATTAAGAATCTCTATTCGTTTTAATTGATATTGGACGGTGCGTATGACACTCTTGATTTCGCTTTCTAGTATGGGATTGCATTGCAAATAAGAAAAGTTTCAAGAGTAAAAGTAATGTAGCGAATCTAGTGAACTTCACTTTATCGTCATAAGTATATCGACATCAATCGACACTTCCCACCCCTAGCCGCAGGAAACAGGATACGTTCAATGGAATGATTGATCGGCAGCACGTAATCCTTGCACTAAATAAATATCACCGTTTTTCTTTATCGGCCATACGGACGGACGGGTTATTGTATCTTATTGGATACGAATTGACCCGTATCATGGTCATTAGGTTTAAACCGGGTTAAAATCTTATAGGACGATTTAAACCAGATGATATAGCTTCAGTATCAGACGCACGACACAATTGTCGAAGGAAAATTGTGTGAACATCTTGAACGCATTTGTGTCCAACTTCATAAATTTGCTTGATTTCGAAAAGTGCACTAAAAACAAAGAACTTTATTCCATGCTTCACTTACATATGTACACTATACTCGTGATATATCCCTTTCGCTTTCTTCATTTGTATCAGTCTTTTAATACACACCTGTTTTGATAATTTTGGATACATATATTTGGATACCAGATTGAAAATGTCCTTCAGGGGGACTTTAAGGACATTTTCAATGTGGTAAAGATATGTACGTTTACATTTCCCCACCATCTTTTCACGTTTGCTTTATACATTTTTCTTCGGTTTTGGTCATAAACAATCCCTTTTTCTATTCTTTCTTTGGTTACAGTATCATTTTCCACATTCTGTCTTCATGGCTTTCTTAGAATTTTACTACACATACTGTGCAAAGCTCTCATTTCTGAAGCATTCATCATACATTGATGCTTCTTTTGCTACACTCAGCATTCACTACCGTATACTAAAAAACTTTACAGGTTTTCCAAAGGTAGTAAAACCTTTTCGACATGTAGGTTTAATCACAATATTTTCATTCAACTTTAGTGACGTTGCTACTAATGATTGACAAATGTACGTAATGTAGAAATAAAAGTCATATGTGCATGTGATAGATAGATGCGAATCCTTGACCTCCCACTGGACTACCAAGGATATACGTTAAGTATCACAAGAAATTGTAAGGGTGTTACCACACCAATCGATCGACGTCGATCGGTTGGTGTGAAACAATTGTCGATTGACGAACACCGATTTAGGTACTTTCTCATTGTTCCTAAAGTAATTTTTGCTTAACATGATTTGATGCTCTATGAATTTGGTTGCCTAAAATACAGGCCAAGCCAAATGTAGGAATGAAAAGTAATTCCATGCGAGAATTTTCTTAATCCGTCTCGTAGCACCATTATCGACCAAACTGTTTTTATTTTTATTATTATTATATAGTGGGCTCTCCGCAGTAGTTTCTAAAATGTATACAGAAGGGGATTTGTGTGTTGTTGGCAAGCACGACTTTGTTTCTCCTACTTTTATTATGGAGGCGTAAAAATTTTGGCACTCGCACACCTCATTCAATCATCGATCGGTAGTATGATAACAATTATCAATCGACGTTGACTCGTCTCATTCAACGATCAATCGATGGCATTGATCGACTATCGATTGATTGGTGTGCTAACACCCTAACGTTTGGTATATGTGACGTCATTGTTCATGCTGTCGACAGCAACAGAATCTAGATTAAAATTTCGCATTATGGCGAAAGTCCAAAAGTGTCTTGAATGTTTTTACATGAAAATTAAAGACATTAGTAGAAATGACTCAAAAGTCAAACCACGAGTATGTCACTGGCAACTTCATATAATTGAATAATATTGATTGAATGATATGAACAGAAAGAAATGAAAGTGAAAAAGAATAAATTAATGAAGGAAATATTTTCATTTAAAAACATCTTTCCTTTGAAGATGATTGTATTCGACATTGTCGGGTGTCGCACAAATTTCAATTAGCGATATGTCATGTCAAAGTCGTGACTGTGAATGTCATTTTTGTACGACAGCATGTAAAGGTTTGATGATTTTCAGATGATGGAACAACGTGGACCTTGAATTGACGTAGAAGAAAACAAAGAATAATAAATAGATACACTGAAATTAATTATGTATAATAAAGGATGACGTTGCTGTTAGACAAAAGCATTCAGAAGAATACAAGACTGAAGAGTAAAAGAGCAAGATTTCGACTTACCTCTTTTTCCTTAGCAACTAATTCACTCTCCAATCCTCCCTGATGCACAGGACTGCTCCGACACGAATTGCTATTGCTTCTTGGCTCCATTTTCTCCTCTCTCTCTGGCTTTACTTCCAGGCTATATATTTCTCCCTCTCTCTCTAACGAGCCATTTGTTTTCGGGACTGTAGCTTGGATCGGCGTAGGGCTTGTTGTTGCTAGTTGCTCTTTTAACGTCGTCACTTCTTTTTCGGCCAGTGTGGCTCTCTGGAATAATGAAAGCAGATTTATGAGTAAGGAAATTTATATTATTTTTTGAGAGATTTTTATAATGATACCTTTATTTAGCAGGGACCTGAAGGCGAATAAGATACATAACAAACGTTCCTCTGTTGTATGAATATTTTACGACGCAGTTTATTTGGTTAATCAGACTAAAAAGACACACTTTCTCATCAAACAGAAACCAAAAAATGCCGAAATCATTTGGTATCATTATAAATGTAACCGATTTTCTAAAGTTAGAGCCGAAATGTGTTTATAATTGTGATGGTAATCTCGGCAGGTCGAAATGTGAGAAACAAATACAATGTCGCTAGAAAGTTACACGAACTGACATTGATTCATGGTTAAATAAAATGGAAATTGTACAAATTATTACTATCTCTGGTGACTGCAATTTAATTGCTAGTTGAAACATATTTGATATTAAACTTTTTTCGGATCGACTTCGCGCATATGCGCGTTTGCCCACTACATCCGATTCGAATACTTCCGAATCTGAGACTATATAAATCTAGAAAATTCGGACCCACTTCGGATGTCCCTTGTAAATACGAATATGACATTTCGGATCGTCATTTCTCGCATTCGGAACTGATACGAACGCTCTTATTATTATTTTAAACAAACCAAAGTTTGTCATGTCAACCAAAGTCATGGCTGACTGGATGGACTGGCTTTACAGCGTTTAATGATACGATTGCAGAATGTAACGAAGCTTCTTTTTTCTTAATCGGATTCTATTCAGCCCAAGATGACAATAGCTGCTGGACGTACGAATCACGTTAATAGAATAATTTCTCTATTATCTCCTATAATTTATTAGGTAATAGACTAAAATAGCTTCGCACAGTGAGTCATAGACAATCGGGTGATCAATCTCGGTCAATTGAGAGCGGCCAAATCATTGCGCAAGCGTTGATGACAAATCTTAGATTTCAACCTACGGATTGTATTTCAAAGTATTGGGAGTGAAGTGGAATTTGGTGGGATGAGCAAAGAGTCTGAACTACCAGCGAATTATAATTCAAATCGTGAATTCACAATTATCATTACAACATTACTTCATCGGTAGATATAACCTGAAAGATAGGAAACTAAACTTTGTTTTTTCAAACAAATCAGTTTCAGCAGGTCCCATAGTAGCTGATTGATGGCGGTTTAGATCCAAATCTGAAAGAGTTGAACGGTCAGTCCCATAAATTTCAACAGGATTGTTGTTATCATTCGCTCAAATTTCCATGACAAAAACCAACAAGAAACTTGACGTAACCTTAGAGCTTTTGCGCACTACGTCCGTTTCGCATCACTTCCGAATTCGAGAAATAACAGTCCGAAATGTCAAAGGGATATTTTTATTTTTAGGTGTGCCTACGAGCAACATTCGTATTTCCTTAGCGCTTATTTTCTTAATGCTTATTTTCGAAGCGATATCCGAAGTAAGTTCCGAGTTTTCTAGATTTGTATAGTCTCCAATTTGGAACAATCGGATGCAGCGCACAAGTGCGCCTTCATGCCAAAATTAGTCGGAAGATTGTTAGTGCTACAAACATGAGTGTCCTCAATCGTATACAACAAAGAACAGTTACGTGTTGCATCTAACAACTCTCATCCGTCCACCTAACCTTGGTCCTCAAAGCGTTCTTCGATTCGTACGTCTCTCCATTCATTGCTATCAGTTTTCAGGACTCACATAATTCATGGCCCATCATCACTTCGACACAGTCCACGTTCATGTTTAAAATCGGATAAAACTGAGTTATTGTTAGACAAGCCGCAGATGGCATCGAAGATACAAAGTATTATTAATCCTGGTAATCGCGGTTTCATCGCGAAACTCATGCGCAATAAAAGTTGTTCATACATGAAAAATATCGTTGCGAGTGCGTGTGTGCCACAACACACTGAATTAAAAAACGCTTGTATTTTACAGAACGGATACTGATTTAGATACAAGCTTGACAGTTTGGGTTATTGATCTTTTATATCATAGAGTTGAATTTAAATTTCGAAGCTCTTGTCGTAATCCAAGAAACAAATCGCATTTTCAACGTAAATGAGCTTTTAGCACTTATGAAACACGTGAACTGTGATCTTTGTGAATTAATTTTTTTTGAGGTACACGATAACTGACAAGTTTAATATCTAATAATTAGTTTCTTGTCTGCAATGGATCTTCAAAGTAAGTTCACATCAAATAATTTTCGTCGTATGTTCCATTTTCAAAAAGTAAATAATCGCTGCGTTTTGTGTTTGGTTTGCGTACACTCCGTTCCACGTAATCTGCGTTTGAGACGATGTTATCTCGTCACGCGTACTGCCCTCTCTATGCGTGCGTTTAGTTTTTGCTTTCTTGAATGAGCTATTACTCATTAGTAAAACTGTAACGGAAGCTATAGTCCGAATTGAAGGGAAAATGATAAAAATAGTAAAAGTAGGAGTAATATCATTAAAAAGGTATTTTATTTGCGTCTCGATTGCTGTATTTGTGTTAAAAAGTTCGTGTTACCTTTCGAACGAATTAAATAATGATATATTCTTTATTGAAAATTGAATATGTAGTTTTTAATAGTACTATAATTAGAACTTGGTATAATAAAAAAACCACATGTGATCATATGTCAAAAGCTTTTATCACGTAAAAATGATTTAAAAAAATACAAATTTCAGATTCAGATTCATTTATTTCTCAAATATAACATTACAGTATAAATTGCACTACATGTCAAAGTATAAGAAATTATATTGAGATCGTCAGACAAAAACGAAAATTATAAGAAAAGCACACAATAATTAGAAAATTAACAATTCATTACATAATATTGTTGTCATTAAATTATATATCAAATATCATTCTCCATCAAGGATCGTCATAAGTTGATAACAATTGTACAAGAGTATGTTAATGCGGTAAAAATTAGAATAAAAATAGAAAATACTGAATTCGTTACAATTTAAAGTCCATAAATTCTTTTACTAATAGGATTTTTCAAGAAAAGGTCTTTCAGCCGGCGCCCAAATATTTCGTCAGACGGTTCAAGTCTGAGAGTAGCGGGTAAACGCTCATAGATATGGATATATATGGATATATCTCTTTATGTATTGGACGCGTCAAAGTATTTTTTTTTAAATTTCATGTTTTATTTATTTATTGAAGTCAATATTTAATCGTCGTTATACAATTTAAGATCATACAAATTTTCTACAAATCAATTAAGTCAAACAAAAAAAAATGCAACTATGTTTTGTCGAAGCAGTCACGTCATGGGGTTAATTACAATTATCTTAGAGCTGTTTCAATTTGTAAAAAATTTGTAAAACATGTTTAAGCTTTTCTGTATTTCAAGTAAGCAGTAGAGCTCCTTGTGACAGAGATCGTCCAGGGAAGTACTGCCACCTTACCTATTTCTGCCGTCAAGCATTAATGTTAGCATTACTGTGTTCCGGTTTTGAAGGGTACGGGTGCTGGTGAAATTACAGGGACTTGTCAACTTATATCTCAGGATGACAGGCGCAGTGGCAGTGCCCGTCAGATCTGCGATTTAAGCTCTGAGTGGTATTGCAATTGTCATGAACAGGTGTGTCGCTTACCACCAGACTCACGATTTGTTCTTTCCATCACTTGGTAATATAAAAAAAAATGCTCTTGGTGCCTCGGTGGTGGCGGAGGTACTATTAACTCATGTACATTACTGTCTATTCCGATCTGTGTTATAAATTATAACAGCGTACTTCTCTCGATTGACAATTAGTTCCCGCGCTATTTTCATTGAAAACCCTAAATACGCAATTCAATAATTTAGAACAAAGAACTGTAGTCGTCCCAATCGTTTGTCCGTACATCCGTTTCGGGTCGAGATCACTGCGATTACAGTTTTTCTGAATGAACTGCGTAATGTATGCAAGCGGAAGCGAAACAATTGTTTTTATGCCAATGAAACTATGGGAATTGATAATTAGATTACATACAACATTTAAAAACAAGCGCTACACCCGTAACTCTCATAGAATTTGTATGAAAACTATGAGACTTGATAACAGAAGCCGAATTAAACATTTATTATTTCCGCGAAGAGCCGTCAATTATAGGAATTACTATGTAACGTAAGGGTCTTTAAAAACCTGTTTGTAAATAGAATAATGCTATAAATCAATGTTTCCTGCTGCTTTTAATGATTTTGATGTTATCTTTTTTTTAATGACGGCAAAGGACGCACGGTTCAGATGAGTCCCAATGGCTTGGAGCCAATTGCGTAATTTCTTCATTGCAACTATTGTGGGTAAAGATTTTAACAACGATATCGAGTTCTTAGGTTTTCTCGATTGTTACACATAGGACACTTTGAAGACGTTGCGCATTGCAGAAGTCAGAAGTGGAAGTGAGCGTGCCTACAGCTCCGGCACCTATCTAGAAAATACGGAGGGTATTTGTATGTGCACCCGAGACGGTTCACCCAAGGCGCTAGCCTTTTGAAAACCGAATGAAAACAGCGATAACGGTCTGTGACAACCCTGTACGCTGGCTGATCTGGGATCAGAACGTGAACTTAGGAGGTTCCCGTGCACGCACAGGTTATAGTGCCCGTCTCGTATACCTTTAGGGTAGGTAGGGAGGGTCACTATAGTCAAAACTAATGTAGAAAGGTATGGGGTTGGTACCCATAAGGAGTGTGAGTGTGTGGAAAGTACTGCCACCTTACCTATGTCTGCCGCCATGCCGTAATGTGACCATTACTCTGTTTTGAAAGGTATTGGTGCTGGTGAAATTACAGGTATACGTGACAGTGGATTTCAGATCATTGGGATTTAAAGCTCTGATTGGCACTGCAACTGCTATGGACAGGCGTGTCTTTTATCACCAGGCCCACCGTATATGTACCTCCCGTCTCTTGGTATCATAATCAGTACAGAGTACTAAAAAAACCGACCTCAAAAGTACGTGGAATTACATGTAATTACCAAGTTTTATTGAAATCGGTTACCGG